TCAGTGGAACATAAAGTATTTCTGGAAGAATTTCATGTAAAAAAAATAACGATGTACATAAAAATCTTAGGAAAAATATATAAATATCTAAATAGTAAAGCTAATGGGAGAATAGATTGAGGAATAAGAATTTGGACAAAAAGGGAAGTGAAACAAGGTTACCCCATTTCACCACATTTTTTATAAGTATTTTAGAAATAATTATTCGCAAAATGGAAAATACATACGGCGTAAACATTAATAGAGAAAAAATATCAAATCTACGATTTGCTGACGACAATTATTTTAACAAAACCAGCCAATTAATTACAAGAAATTCTAAACAATCTCCTCAAAAATAACAAAGAAGTAGTACTGACAATAAATACTCAAAAAACAAAAATAATGACCAGCTCTCCGTCAATACCGATAACAACTCATGCTGAAAACATAAAACGTAGACAACTACCAATATTTGAGCCAGATCATATTCTTTAAAAATCCTTCCCAATCTGTAATAGACAACAGAATTTCACAAGTATAGAAAAAATGATGGTCTTGCAAATTCATATTACTGAAGAACAACTCTAGCCTAAAAATAAAGAGAAACATTATGAACACCTATGTCCTATCAATATTATTATACGGTTCACAGACATGGTCACTAACGGATATGGATATGACAAAAATATGTCAAATGAAGCTGGAAAGGAAAATATTAAGTATAATTCTAAAAGACAAAGTAAGAAATACTGACGTAAGACAAAGTACAGGTCAAAACCAAGTAGGTCAATTCACACGTCTTCTAAAATGGAAATAGACAAGACATGTAATGAGGATGAACATAAAGAGATGGACGTACAAAATTACAACACGGGACCCAAGGACTGGCAATGTCGGAAGATAGAGAACACTGTGGTCAGACGACATAATAAGATTGGGAAGACTATGGACCAGAACAACAGGAGACCGCACAAAATGGAAAGAAGACATTTACACACTCGAAGTCAATTGAGAAAAAAGATAACAGGGAAGTCGTAGTGAAAAAGGGTAGCAAAAAGTGATAGTGAAAGACATGATCAAAAAGAAGGGAACAGTGAGAAGTGAACAAAAAATCAGACAAAAAATAACAATTAACTATCTAACTTATAAATTTACAACCTAACAATGTAAGAAGCGTTTGCCCTACTAAGAGATGCAAACAGATTAATTATAATAATAATAATTATTATTATTATTATAAAAATTTCATGTTACGAAAAGTGTGCACAAAATTTCAGTTTCACAAGAGTAGTATTTTTTTTATTTTAAACGATACATTTTCTTTCAATGGCTGGAAGACGGTGCAGTGACTGGAATATTGTGTAGTCACCGCACTGCAGTAGAAATGAAGATGTGCTGACCTCTCACACATTGAACTCTTCTTGCTTAATAGGAAAAACATGCCTAATGGAGGTCTTCAACGCAACTGTGCAAAAAGAAGTAAGCAAGATCAGATCGTTATGCTTTACATTCTCGTTATTCTTGTCTTTATTATTATTATTATTATTATTATTATTATTATAATTGTCGTTGTTGTAACGTTTCTCCGTGGTGAATTAAAAAGTACACTAGTAATATTTAACAAAAACGTTTATTTTTTAAACACTACTACACTAAATAATACTTGATTTATTTACACATATATATTACACAGTTATTGTGTTCTTCACTTGATTATTTTCCTTACACACGACTCTGTTCTCTTGATTTTTTATTTTCACAGTTCACTAAAGGGGGAGGGGGACACCGGTAGATGACGCAATCCGCGCAGCGAATCCCAGCAGGCGATGCAAGATTCGTAACATTATTATTTCATCAATTAGTTCCTCACTTATTGATATGAGTGTCCGCGAGTGATGAAGAAAGTATTTAGCCAATTTCAATAGTTACGAATTATTATTAATATTATTAGTTTATTACAATTATATTATTTTTACTACAATTATTTTTATAGAACACATTGAATAAAGTAAAATAATATCCATGTTTTAAATCGTGCATTCAAGCATTACAAAAAGTGAGATGTAGTTCCAAAACAATGCATTACACGATTTACACATATGATATTGCTGTCAATTTCTGAAGAAACAGATATCATCAGATCACGCAGTTCAAGTTGTCGAGCCTTCGAGTCCAGTTGTAATTTCATTTACAGCCAGACATATGCATTTCTACGCTAGGTCATACATACTGTTAAATGAATTACGTCATAAAATTGCATAGTGAATTCCAAAGTCATAAAATTGCAAGCTTTGCCAATTTTGAGTGTACTGAAGTCTTAAAATGAAAGTGATATTACATTTGTGGTAACAACTATGCCTTTGTGGTGCAACGTTAAAGTGAGCATTGGTAAGGGCCTCCACGCACTATATCTCTGTGTTAAGACTTCGTTGATATGTAATTTGCATTGACGTTAATTGCACTTATTCTGATCCATCTTCTAGGAAAGTACATGTTAGTCATTCTGCGTTTTTCCTATTGGGATCGAGGAGTCTACTTTCACATTGTAGATGCGCTATTCATCCTGTTAGTTTCGCGCTACTGCTCGCGATCAAAGAAGAAAAACGCGAGTTTCAAATTCACTTCAGCATGAGTACAAATTCTGATCTTATTGTCTGACTCGGAATACGAAACAAAATAAAATTGTTATATTTTCAGAAGCATCTCGCACTAATCAAGTATTATTTTTATAACACGACGAGGAGTTTAGAAATTATCGATAATTACTGAAACGGAGTGGTATTTAGTGTGATTTT